AAAATGGGCCATAGATCAGAGTAGGAACATAGCTCAACCTGTAAATCAAGAGATTTGCCTTTTGGCTGAGCTCTCTCTTCACCACAACAGACCAGTTAGCATCAATCCACATGTCGATCTCCCGCTCCATATTCGACTCATTTGTGAACAAGACCCCAACATACATAAACTCCTCCACTAGGGGCAGTATATCCTCCCAAACCTTGAGAAGGCGTTCCAACTTTTTTTGGCTCAAGACCTGCGAACCTCTCCAGTGAGAGCCGTAGATCACTCGCTGATGAAGCCAATAAAACCACATCATCTGCGAATAATAAAGACGCGATCCTAAGGCCAGTAAAATGGATCCCCTCAACACCTTGGCTGAGCCCAGAGATTCTGTGGAAAAAAATATGAATAGAATTGGTGACAAAGGACAAATCAAAAATAAAAAAATTAAATAAATATAGAATCTGAAAGTAAAAAATAAAGGAACGGTTTAACTTTTTAGGGCGTTTTTATCCAAGCAGAAACCTACNAATTAAAGGTAAAAATTACTTGAAAAAATTAAAAAGTGTTTTCTTTGTGTTTGGTTCAGAAATGGGGACCAGATTTGGGTTACTGAAAAGAAGGAAACTTTTTTTAATTTTTTTGGGAGGGGGGTGGTCTGCTGGGTCGCTGACTGGATCGGACCGGGCATCCGAACCGAGCCATCAGCGGAGGGGAGCAGCGAGCCAGCCGGAAACGCAGCAACCAAACCCAACCCGGTGAAGGCTTACACCTCGGTTCTGCTGCACTGTAGTCGACCAAAATCCCGGAAGATTTAGCAATTCCACCTGAACATTTTTTTAGGTATGAAAAGAAGAACATGTCCAAAAAGAGGACGTCTGGTCACCGTAGGTTTGGATAATTACTGACAAAAACAAGGCGGGCAATGAATGTAAAAAACGTATGATGATAAATAAAAATAATTCTATAGATAAAATGTGAAGAAAAAATGATTTTGGTAAATGAACAATAAAAACTTATAAGAATCCATCCATCTTCTTCCTCTTATCCGAGGTCAGGTTGCAGGTGTAGCAGTTTCAGTAGGGAGGACCAGATGTCGCTCTACCCAGCCACTCGGGCCAGCTCCTCTGGGGGAATCCCAAGGCGCTCCCAGGCCTGCCAAGAAACATAGTCCCTCCCTGTCCACGGTCTCCCCCTGGGCCTCCTCCCAGTGGGACATGCCTGGAACACCTCACCAGGGAGACATCCAGGAGGCATCCTAACCAGATTGCCTGACCCACCTCAACTGGCTCCACTCGACATGGTGAAGTAGTGGCTCTACTCTGAGTCCTTCCCGGATGACTGAGCTCCTCACCCTATCTCTGAGGGAAAGCCCAGTCACAATACAGAGAAAACTAATTTGTTGTATCTGGGATCTTCTGCAGGTCATTCATCCCTGCTGCCACCAGACTCTACAATGCAACATTACAACGGCAATAACTTGTGCAATGTATAATGTGCAAATACTATTTAAAACCTTGTGCCGTAACCTGTTCCTTTATATTTGATACCCAATGCAATAGCATATAGATAAATACCCATCTATATAAATACCCATATGCACCTTTTCTTCCTTTGGCATCGTCTCCACTCTGAGATCAATAAAGTCAGCTCATAAAATGGGCCATAGATCAGAGTAGGAACATAGCTCAACCTGTAAATCAAGAGATTTGCCTTTTGGCTGAGCTCTCTCTTCACCACAACAGACCAGTTAGCATCAATCCACATGTCGATCTCCCGCTCCATATTCGACTCATTTGTGAACAAGACCCCAACATACATAAACTCCTCCACTAGGGGCAGTATATCCTCCCAAACCTTGAGAAGGCGTTCCAACTTTTTTTGGCTCAAGACCTGCGAACCTCTCCAGTGAGAGCCGTAGATCACTCGCTGATGAAGCCAATAAAACCACATCATCTGCGAATAATAAAGACGCGATCCTAAGGCCAGTAAAATGGATCCCCTCAACACCTTGGCTGAGCCCAGAGATTCTGTGGAAAAAATGATGAACAGAATTGGTGACAAATTACAAATAAAAAAAATAAAAAAATTAAATAAATATAGAATCTGAAAGTAAAAAATAAAGGAACGGTTTAACTTTTTAGGGCGTTTTTATCCAAGCAGAAACCTACCTCGTTGTGCTAATTTTATCATTGTTATAATTAGACAAAAAAACATTAAGCTCAGTTTGAGCCTTATCTTTTCTTCAAAGGGAAGGATCTGATCCACATTCTGTAATGTTAAAAAAAGAAATATAGAAATGAACGTCTTTAAAACATTTTATTCAGAAAGATTTTGAGAGTAACTCTGCTGCTCTCTTAGATTTATTTTTTTTTATCAAAATGTTTGTTTTTTTCTTTTTACGTCCTGATGAAGCCGATTTTAATTAATTGTATTCTTCTCTGCTCAAGCACATCTTAATCACATTACTGCCTTCTGGCTACAGAGGTCTCTTAATCACCCATTTATTTGTATAGTGTGGTGGCAGAAAAAAACCTGAGACATACAGGTCAGTGGGTCCTGAGTTCACCTGCTTTAAATATACCAAAAAAGATGAACAATTCTGGATCTTAACCAGCCAAACAGAGAGTTCGCATGGAGATGTCCCTGCATCCCCAGTGAGCTTACTTGTTTTGCAGATCTCTGCGGATGAGAGTAGAGAAAAGAGCTTAAAGATTTTATAAATTTATGCTTCAAAAGTTTCAAATAAGTAAGTTATGTATTTTAAGTTTGGTCTAAATACTGTTTATTGCATTTTATGTTGCAGACGAACAACACAAAGATGTAAAGAATTCCTTTAGGGATCAGATTGCAAACACTGTGTGGTGGCGACACAACCCCTACAGCATTAACAGGTTATTTTAGAGGAGACACGTGTCCATAATGTTTTGCATTGTACATCCTGTTTGTCATGCCGGGCCCTTCAGCCGCCTCCAGGCTTTGCAAACATCTCTGGCATTCCAACATGTGTTCCCTAAGCTTGTACTCAGAATTCCCATTTGTCTTTTCTGTGTAAAACAAAATCAGAGCACAGACTGGGCGACACCAGACTGAGGCCACTCCTCTGTATGGTGATGATTGTGTTGGAATTTCTGTTTTCATGGTTGTAAAACTTCGACTGCTGAGGAAATGTAAATAGTGCTTTTGTTTGGGGCCATACTGCTGTACGAATTGCTCATACTTCTCTCCCTGCACTCCTTTCAGAAAAAACGTTGGTTGGGACTTCAACCGGCAACTTTCTTCTAAAAATTATTCAGTTACAAAAACTTTGCTAAAATACAGAAACTAGTTGAAAAATTTTATCCAACTGATTTCCTTCCAAATTTTTATTAATGCTAAAAAGTTTTTCTACAGAATTCATGTCTCATAACGCTAAGGTGGCACATTACCAGCAATTACTGGGAAGGTTAATTATAGTGTTCTTTTTTTTTTACAAACTTACTACTTTAAGTGAGCAGTGAGAGATGATGTGCAATGTTTAAATCTTTGACTCAGTCTCCCAAAATGTGTCAGCTGTTTGCTGAACTGAGACAAACTGTGCTTCACTGGCGGCACTCCCACTCCAGCGTTCAGTCATATTCCTGCTCGCTTAACTTCAGCCATGCGCACAGCTCCATCTCTGCGCTTACAAATTGATCGGCTGTATGTCGATAAACCACACCGCCAGAAAGTCGAAAACAAGTATTTTTCATCCAATCATACTCTTTGTGAATACATTTATGTCTTAAAATACTGCACCTAAAGTGGCAGAGATAAAAAAACATGTTTTTTTTATTGAGATTTAAAAAATTACCATCTGACTTTAATAAAATAAACACTTGAATTAATATACTAATAAACTTACTAAAACAACATTTTTATCTGTATTTTTTTTTTTTTTTACTTTTCTTGAGCTACAAAATTATGTAAAAAAATGTTTCACCTAATTTGGAGGATTGTTTTCCTTGTAGCTCTGAGAGTTGCTACACATTCTTTCTTTTCTACCAAAGAAATGCCCTTTATTGTATCCAGAATAAACATTTTTTATTATTTTACTGCTGATGTTCATATGCTAATATAAAACTGTTGATATAACCCTCATCAGAAAGCAGTCATTCTTTATCTGAAGTTTTTATAGCTCTTACCAAGACAAAGGCAATAATAAAATCCTGAAAATGAGACCAAAACTTTTTTACACATCACATCAGACGCTGAAGAAAAGTTGGAATTTTCCTTAAAAAGCACAGTTTTAGTTAGTACTAATAAATATGTAGATTAATATAGAACATTAAGGAGTGTATTTTATTACTGTCTGATGTTTTTGTTGGTTTTGTGCTGTATAAGACTGTATTCTATACCATGTATTCTTTCCAAACGTAGTACTTGCAAGGAATGCTTTATTTGATAAAAAAGAAATAAATGTTTTGGCGATGTTCACTTACATACAGTGCAATCAAGTCGTAAACATGAGGCACACACTTTAAGTTAGTCGAGCATAGGCAGAAAACGAGCATAGCCGGCGGGGCAGGGTTTGACAGACTGGAGCTCTGTAGGTGAAGTTTGAGTGAGCAGCTGTGAGATTTAAAGCTGTGCTTCGGTCTCTGCTCGTTCAGGCTGATAACCAAAGGCTCCGATTGGACGTACACAAAATAAAACAGAGGTAATACAAGTGTCAAACACGGTGGTGGCAGACATGTTTTACAGATACCTTTCCTAAATACTGTGGCGTTGGCCATGAACACGTTATGAAATCAAAATTATTGCTCCCAATGATGGTCAGCTTTTTACATCCACTGATTTTACTGTTTCTGTTTCTCTATTATTAGTATTTAGCCCTTTAGAGCGGACATTTTTATACCACAGTACACTTTTATATTTTCTCTGTCATATTTTAAATGCGGCCTGCTGCCCTCTTCTCCTCTGCTCGTTTCTGTGCTGGTAAAGCTGCCATCTAACAGCCAAGTAAAGAGATGTATCTGCTCTGTCTCCTTGCCTAGGCTCCACACATGCTGGGGATCCACGGATCACATCCAACCCCAGCTCGCCCTCCTCCTCTCCACACACCCCCAACGCCCTGGGAAGCGGCATCTCCGATCCGGTCCTGAACGGAGGCCTGTGTTCTGCTGCCTACTGCGGCTCAGCGGGTGGTAGGTCCGCCCTGACGGGCTCTTACATCACTTTTCTTCTTGAAATCAATCACCCCTCATGAGGTTGAAACAAACGTTTTTATGGGATGGTGAGCAGATTTCATCCTGCTGCGGTTTGGAAAGAACAGCCAGAGTTTCACAGTTGCAGGAACATGTTTGTCAGAAATAACAATTTAAAGGAACAAATAGAGAGGCAGAGTCACAGTGCATTCCGTTCAGTTTTTATCTCATCCAGTCCTCTTGCTTTTCACTCAGGCTTTCTGGTAAACACTGGAAGTTACAACAGAGCCACAGAACCAAAGCTAAAGAAAAAATTTACTTGGAGACCAGAACAACGTCATAGTTTTTAGAAGTTTACACACAGGTTAAACCTTAGCACATTATAACCCATTAATGCCACAAACATCAATATTTTATACAAATACTTTGTTTGACAGACAGACCAACATGAAACACTTGATAATGTTCATGACAACTGAACTTGGTTTATAAAGCACTTGGCAGCATACAGTACATTTATATAAACCCCTCCTGATTCAGTACCTTTCAGAAGCAGCTTCAGTTACAGCTGCTGGGTCTGTATCTCTATCAGCATCTTTTTATCAAGATGGTACGGACTGAATGGACTTAGTCTGTAAGTTATTAAAAGGTGGGTGTGGGCTTTGACTGGGGCATATTCATCTAATATTCAATTCACTTTATTTATGTAGCACATAAATTGACAACATGTAATCTAAAGGCACTTTATGGAGACAATTCAACCAGATCATAGCAGCCAGGCAGACCAGTTCCAAACCAGCTCACATGTCAGAGGGTGAAGAGAGCACATCCAGTTGGTCACAATCACAGAAACAGGACTACACTGAAAAACAGGCCGATCTCCATGTGAGGGACCGAGTCAAAAAAACAGAGAAGCACAGGGAAGTCTTGATGAAAAAATGGTAACAAATTTATTTTGCAAAAATAAAGTTCAAACAAGACTGGGCCCATCAAGGAAACCAAATGACAAAAATCAGCATAATCCAAACCTGACACAGGAAAAGACCTACCTAACTGACACACAAGGGAAACATATACATACTGGTTGATCAGACCATTTTGAAACATGAGGGAAACTAAAAATACATTTTCCTAAACAAAACTACAACAAAAAAACCAAACTAATCAGCATCATACTAAATCAGCAACCTATGAGGAAGAGGGCTTAAATATTAAACTTTCCAAATATTATAGAAAACAAAACCAAATACAGAAACTTAAACCCTTTCTACACCCCTTCTAAAAGTAAGTGGAAGAGTCCAACTAGGCCTCCATGTCAATGAGGAGATACTTTGCAGCTGGGGCCTCCTTTCTCTTACTGGCTTCACTCATGACAGCCTCCCAGGAACTGGCAACTCAAATGAAAAATATATAAATGTAGAGAAACCAAACAAGCAAGAAATGACTAAATGAGTCAACTAAATGTCTGCACCCACATAGTTAACCAATGCTAAATCAAAGTAGAAAAACAAGAAATACAGTAAAGTAAAATAGAAGATTTAATGAAAGAATTACCAGACCATTTGTGTGGTTGCACATGCAGCCATCACACTCCAACATCTATAAACAAAGATATTGACGGCAGCAACACAGCTGATATTTCTCTCCAGGCGGGTGTAACAACCAAACAGGAACAGATGAGGCGAAACTACCGTACTATAAGAAAAAGCAGAGAGAGCATAACATTAGAGATTAAACTAACAATTAGAGAATAGAGATAGAATGAAGCAGAATGATGAAAAAGGGTGCCTACGTCTTCCAGCAATCTAAGACTATAGAAGCATAACTATAGAGATAGCTAAGGATAACCGGAGCCACTTTAAGTTTTATGAAAAAGGAAAGTTTTAAACCTACCCTTAAAAGTAGACAGAGTGTCTGCAGCAGACAAGAGAAGTACTTTGAATGTAAAGATCTGAGCTTAANTTTTCTTCTTGCTTGACTTATATGCTCTCCCGGCGTCAATGGTAGAATTACGCAACAGCGCCCCCGGCTTGAATGGTAGAAATGCGGTAATGCTTTCCCGGCCTAAATGGGTTAAGATAAAACTCAAGATTTGTACTTTATTATGTTGTGTAATTTTCTTTTTCTTCGAATTGATATTATAAAACTGGTATCGAAAAAAGTATCGTTCAGGAATAGGTATCGAAATGAAGGTATCGATATTGGTATCGGTATCAAAAAATTTTGAATGATACCCAGCCCTTTGTCTGCCTCATGGGCTAAAACTATTATTCCTGTGTCTTGGCTTTATGAGAGCTGGAAGGTGAATCGCTGTCCCAGGCTGAAGTTTGCCTATGAATTATTAAACATTTACAACTGGTTAAACATGCTGGTCTAAATATGTTTTCATTTTCCTTTTAGCTTAAAATTGTGGTTTGCATTATGTAGGGTTATTTTTTTAATTTTTTTTACCTAACTTGTAAATTAATTTAGTTTTATTTGATGAGACGAGAAAAGGGATCTGATTAGAGATGGACTCTGTCCTCAGATTTTTTAAACCAGATTCCTTTCTCTACAAGGTTTTTTTCTGTCTTCCTCACCAAAAATCTCCCACAAATATAATAAAAATTTTAAAATGTTTAAAAAATATTTCTAAAATGTTATAGATCTGAAATGTTGCAGACAGAGACCTCAACTGAGACATCCTCAGATCCTCTCTGATGTCAGCGTTTCCTTTTTGTTCACACTGCAGGAACGAACCCCAGTTCGCCGGTCAGCCTCCCCAAGTCGCCCACGTTCCCTTCAGGCCGGGAGCCGTGTTCCGATGAGTGCTCCATCTGCTACGAGAACGCGGTGGACTCGGTCATCTACACCTGCGGACATATGTGTCTGTGCTACGCCTGCGGCATCAAGCTGAAGAAGATGTCCAATGCCTGCTGTCCCATCTGCAGGAGACAGATCAAAGACATCATCAAGACCTATCGCAGCACGTAAAGAGAGCCGAGGCGCAGCTTCGCCTCAGAGTTTAACTAAGAGACGGTGACGCTCAGGGAACTCTGGTACTTTGACCTTCTCCTTTAGTTTCAGGAAGGTCTTTGAAAAGTGGCTCGGTGTTCCAGGTCTGCTCCACTGGGATTGTAAAAACCTCTCAGCCAGGAAGAAGAGGAAGCTGAACTCGTCTCTCACATGGAGAGCCTTCAGCCTTTGGGATGAACATTGGGTAAAGCACATCTGTGCAGGTCATCTTCTCAGTACATCACAACTTGTGTCTGTGTGCTACTGGTTGCAGTTTGGCTTTTTATGGTGATTTTTCCGTGTGTGTTCAGAGACACCTCGCCTGGCAGTGCTGAGTTTCCAAGTAGGATTGTAATCTCTCGTGTTCTCGTATAATCTAAAGTACCTTGATGGTAGTTTTTCTTTCAGATGTGGGTAGCTTTATCGTCGTGCTAGCTAGCTGCTTGCTCTGCAGTGTGGTATGTTGCACTGAAATCAGCGTTTATTGAGACTCAACTGCTGAAAACGATCTCAAACCTGCATAATCTGCAGCTCTGATTTCTAAAAGAAACCAGTCATTTGGTTACTCCTCAGGGCCAGCTGCCATTTCCTCAACGCGGTTCTTCTCCCAGTTTAACCAGAAACAACAAATCAAACCTGATGCACTGTGAGTGTTGATTATAAAGCGTCCTCCCCATCACAACAAAGGATTGTTGCCATCAGCCTCCTGCCTTAACACACAGAATTGCTTCTGTGCTTTTTTTTTGTTTTTCTTTTCCAAAAATCCCCCACGGAGAACCAAATGATGCTGCTTCGTGGCACAGACTGCCACAGTTGTTCACTCAGAGGAGAAACAAAAGCACACGAATCAAACTATTTTTCTAGAAATTTATTTTACCTTCTTGATTATTTTCAATGTAAGATACATTCTGTGAGAGAAGTTTCATCAGCAGCAGAGATCCTTTACAGAAACCTTCCTCTTTCAATTTTCAATGATTTTTAGCCCTGAACTTTGAGTATATCATTTATATTTATTGTAAAAAAAAAAAAAAGTAAATGGAGTAATAATTCTAAGGTTTGCAAGCTCAGGAAAATAAAAAATAAATAAAAGATTATCAACCAGTCTGTAGAAAGTCTTAAATCTACATGAATACATCCTCCCAGCAACTACAAAGCATCCAAATGCGTAAAGTAGAAGCAGTTCTGTGCTGCTGATTAACAACTTCACTAAAGCAAATGATAACCTTTTAAAAAACATGACATTTGGAAGTGGGCACTTGGTTTTTACATTAATGTTGCTACCAATGAGTTTAGAACAGCTATGAAATCATTTCTACAAAGAAATGTTTTTCATCCATGAGCCTCGCTCTGACACCACAGGCCTCAGGTAGCTTCCAAACTTCATGACAGAACAGTAAGCAAAGATGCGATTGAATGAACCATCTTCTAGAGCCAGGGTTTCCAAAGTAGGGGTCAGGCCCCCCCAGGGGTCCTGAGATGTTTTCACAATATGGAGGGCCAAAATGTGTATCAAATAACATAAATGTGAATGTCCCAAGAAATAAATAACATCAAGATTTATATATTTTTCCAGTACAATATTCAGTATTAAATATTATATGGAGCTAAATTTGAGCTAAATAATTACATTTCCCGTTAAATGATAAAAAAGCATTTTTTTAATTATTAAATAAATAATTCATTTTCATTTTAATAAGTATTATTTAAAAATAAACAAAGTAAAATAACTATATGTCTCTTTGGGGTCACTAGTTGGTTGCGTTTTTGCATTGTAGCATCACAGGCTGAAATATTTTGGAATCCCTGTTCTACAAAGATGCTTGTTGGCTTGATCAGACCAGATTACAGATGATTTGTTATAAAACACAACAATGTGTTGGAGAAATAAAATGAAACAAACACAGATTATCAAGCTAAACCCTTCATACCAGCTGTCAAGCATGGTGGTGGTAGGGTGATGATCTGGGCTATGCTGTGCAGTCACAGGATTACATTGACCAAGTAATCCATTAACTCTTTTCCCATGAATTGTACACTAAAACTTGAGGCCATCTCAGTCCATCCTGGGACATCAGGAGCAGATGGAAGATAATGAAGGTGTAACAACGGCCTAGTTAAAGTGCAGACCTCAATCTGACTGGGACGCTGTGATGGGATCCTTGGAGATATGTGCATCATGGATCCTCTGTGGATTACACACAGCTTAGAGATGTATTCATTCTACGATCCGTCATTAATGAATGAGGGATCGTTTCTCCCTCATGGCAGGACATGCAGGAAGCTCTGCCTTGTTTTTTATGGATGCGAATTGATTAACGAGGCTCTGACTCCTACTGCTGCTGATGGGGAAGTTTCAAATGTCCCTCCCACATTATTATTTGAATTCGCTGCTGCTTGAAGTGTTAACTCACCTTTGAATTTTTATTTATGAGTTTAAAGAAATTTATTCACTTAAACTGAGGAAAAATAAACATTGGTGTTATTTTAAACTAAGTTTGTCTGCATTGATGATAACACTTTTTTTTCCTTCTTTATTGAAAACATGAAATCACAAAATGTTGGAGTTTTTTTGTACCTAATGCTGCGAGGAGTCGTTTGCAGTACAATCGAAACCAGATTTCAGGTGTTTCTTTTTCTGTAATTTATGGTGTTTATTTAGCCAGAGCCCTTCTCTCTCCTCTCTATGTTTATAGCACTTATTATATCAGTGTATGGTAATGGAAATGTCACTTTATGAGGCTACTGATTGTAATCTTGTAAGTGTTTAGGCCAGCGTTGCATTCTCCTTATCCTTTGCTGACCAAATCAGAAAGAGGAAGATATTTTAGCACATAGTTTTGTGTTTGTGGGTGCCCTCTGTTGGTTACGCTTCAAAATAAAAACAACAATCTTTAGTCTGCCTGTCAGACATTTTACCTGTAAATGATTTTATACGTTCAGTGATTCTGTTTTTTCTTATCCTTCATGCACAGAACTCAAGACGCTCCTTGAATGTTATAAACTTGTAATGTATTATTTATTTGTCCATCACTGATGTGAGGACCTACCTTTGTCCAATCTGCTTTTATTTCTTTTTCTGTTTTTGCTTTTTTTCTGTATCTATTCGATGTCGACGGAGCTTGGCTGTGTCCGTTCACTCACACAGCTGCTCATTTACACTTTTCTTTTCATCCTCGCCACGTCTGGATCAGAACTTTCCTATTGTCCACACAACATGAAACAAGTGGACCAAATGTAGAAGAGAATCCAAAAAGAGATGCTGTTGGCTGTTCCTGCAGAAAGGGAATTAGTTTTGAAGTCAGAATTTTACCAAAAGTGCACATACGTGATAAATGCAGATACAAGCACTTTTATTTAAAACATACACACCTGAGCTACTCTCAATGCAAATTTTCAACATGTTAATCATGCAGATTCAATACCAGTGTGTCACACCTATGTCCTCTACTTTTTTTTGCTCCTCTGGATTCTCTCCCACTCTCTGAGGACTTGTTTAAGTGGCTAATGTTAAATTTTGTCACTTTGAAGTTAGAAACAACCCGAGAAAGTAAACTGCCTTTGATAGGATACTTTTCAGAAAATCCCGCCTCTTAAAAACGTACGGCTTCACTGGCTGCTGCTAGTAACATTAGCAGGTTGTTGTAGACTTTAAATTGGCTTGGTTTAATTTAAACATGAATGTGTTCTGAGAGCAGTAGCAATATCCCAAAAATGTGAATGTTAAATGTGGAACTTCGTTTGACCTAATCTAACGTTAGTTGGTGATTTTACACTCTTACTTTTCAGGAAAAGCAATGAAGGCTTATAAAAGTTTAGACAGCTAGTTTTTGTATACCGAGCAGAGGAGGTTGGCTCTTGAATTCCTTGTGCAATGAGGCGTCAGGCTCAAATATATAGGGCAGCAGTTGCAGGACCCGTTGCTATGGTTATCCATTTTAGTGTGTATAACCGCCATGTTGGCAAACCAATCTCCTGGAGTGACGTCACACTTCCCACTTTAGTATGGGCAAAAGAGTGGAACCTGCAAAAGAGTGCTTTTCTTTTAACGTAATGTTTTATTTAGAATCATTAATATCCGAATATCTCAGAACTCTAGTGTTGACTTTAATTAATGATAGTAGAGCACTTTAAATTTACATTCCCCCCCATCTTTAAGCACCTGGTTTTATGTCCAGCTGTGTGACACATTGGTGGCCTCATGGTGTGGAGTCTGCACACAGAAAACAATCAAATTGTTCCTTATGAGTATTTCACATGTGTATTTTAAATCAAACTGCTGTTATCCGCACTTTTAGTGCACGTCCACTTTTGATAGAAATCCGACTTCAAAATCAGAAGCTGGAAAAATTACGTACATACATTTTATTTGGCTTTTTTTTATTGGTGACACAGTGGCTAAAAACATGAAGAGTTGTATTATGTTGCATTTTCATTTGAATCAGCAGTGTGATTTGGATGAGTGTGGTTAATAAACTTTCCAGATGTGTTTGAGCCAAATGTCTTTGACTCATTATTAAAATACTGCCTTCACCAGATAAGAGAATGACAGCAAGGTTACGAATTTACAAGCCAATACTAATGCAGATACATTTAACAATTTTTTTTAATCGGGAAGTAAAATCAGAGAAGCATTTACTCAGAATAAAATGTTTTTGTTTTGTTTTTTTTGTTTTTTTTATGACAACCCAGGGTCAGGAGAAGTAATGATTATGTATAGGATTATGTGGACACCTTGTTCCTCAGCATGCTCCACCCTCTGGGTCGTTTTAGGTGTCTGGTTCCCAACATCAGGTGTTTCTGTATATGTGAGCTCTCTATTTCAGAGACTTTAGCAACATGCTGCAAGCCTCCCCATTTGTTTGCTGCATTATGTCAGAGGAGGAGCAGAAAGAAAGATGAAAGCTTTCATACATGACAGAAAGTCTTCATTGCTCCTGCTTGATGCATGGGGAGAGCTAGGGGGTCACCATGGCAAGGGCACAGTTAGACACTAGGGGGTGCTAGAGCACCTGTTCATCTGGACTAAAAGGGCCGCCGAAAATTATTAATAATTCATACTTCCTTCTTCACAGTGTATGGTTTGTTTCAGAATGCAGTATTTCTGAATTTAAAAGCCTACATTAACTGACAAGCATCTTTTGTTCATTTAAGTGAGCACATATATATTTCATAGCTTACAGTCAACACATTTTGAAACTTTTTTTATGGGTCTAGTTAATTCAAGTTATACAATAACCTCTCATTCGTAGCTCAATTACTGTGATATACCTTATGTTGATATTTTACCTGAATTTCATTTGTTACAGCGTTAGTTTAGATGCGGCAGAGGATATTTTGCATTGAAGCTATTGAGGGAGAACAAATAGGTTGTCTTCAGTGAGTAAAAGATAAAAAACAAGTAATGAAAGTGTCAAATCTTGTTAAGAAAGTTCAACTTAAAGGTTGGTTATGACTCAGTGTTCAATCTTTAAAGAAATCCATATCAGTCTTGTTGCTTTATTAATCCTAAAAATATATAAAATATCCTTGAATTGCATCCCTGTTTTGATTTTTCTTCATTGTGGTGACCCTAGATCCTCCATGACAGCTTGTTTATCAGTCCTTCACTAAATCATACAGGTGGCCTTACCATGGTTTCTGATCTTAAGTTTCCTTTAGGTCAAGTTAAGTAATCAGAATCTTCAAATACATGACACTTAGAAGGATGAATGATGGTAATAATGAGCCTTTGAATAAAAGAAAAGCTCAGTGCAAATAAACCAAATTCTAGCTCCCAGCTTCTCTTCCTTCACCTTTTCATTGCATCCTTACACAGAGGAAATGCAATGATGCTTGTTAATTTTTTGTCATATTTTATATTTTAAAAAGATAAATATTTTTTTTGTTTTAAAAAACTTAGACAAACTTTATTGTCATTTTGTACACACAGAACAAGACATCAAGACATTTCAATTCCTAAAGTGCAGCAGTGTTAAAATGTAAACATGGTGATCAAATGTAAACATAAGACCAGTATATGATTTAAAGTTTT